AGAGAGTAAAATCTTTAATCTTCTGGGCTAACGTGCCCGACGGGGGCACTCCTTCTCCTGTTCTTCATGGTCATGACAAAGGGGTGCCTCATTAAAAACTCCGCAGAGGTAAAACCCCGTGGGAAAAAATCCTAACGGAGGAAAAAGAGTACACTTCGCTCTGCCATGATTTCCGGAGACGAGGGTGACGCCCTGTTGCAAGTGAATCTGAGCTCGAGCTTTGGACCTCCATGGTATTGCTTTTATTACCTGCTTCATACGTTAGTTGCTACTTCCACGGCCTTGACCGTGGGTTGATAGAAGAAGATTTAAAATTTGAGATGAGTTCATGTGATGAACTCAGTTTTTAGGTATACCTGTTTTGTGTCGTTTATGAGGTCATCGCGTTGTTCTGAGCTTGTAGCAGTAGTGACCTCTTGTTTTTTGATTTTGTTTGAGTCCCCCACTCTTGTGGACTTAGAAAATATTTCCAAGTGTAGAAGACTAAGAGTTTGAGGGGGACAAGGTAGTTGTCTTTAGTACTTAGTAGACTTAGGAGACTTTTTGGCATGTAGTAACACTGATGTGTACAAATAGGAATCTTTACACATTCCTTTTGTAACATGTTTATTTATTAGTCGTTTTTCCGCATTTAATGCGAGACAAGGCTTTGAAGTGATTATACGACGCCATCATTGTGCTTTTTGCACGCCTTTTGTAAAAACCCTTTCAATTTTTTTGAGGTTGGTTTTCGTCAACCACGTGTCAGCCTCCCATTTAATTTGGAAGGGAGTATAAAAGGCGAAAGCTTTCTTCTTTCTCCTTTGCGCTTTCTTTGCATTCGAATTTCCAGAGTTCCTCAAGCAGTTCAGAGCTTCCATCTTCTCCAGCTAGGTTGTTGTGTTCGTTTTCACCGTCGACTCACCTCTTTATCAGGTTTGTCATCAGGCTCATCTTTTTTCTCTTATGCGTTGTTTGCTCGTCGGAAAACTTAGAACAAGGGTTTTTTCGTCGAACTGGTTTTTGGGCAATGGGAGTGTTACAGTCCCCCATTGCGGCTGAGGCCGGTACCCCCACACTCGGAATCGTACGTAGATGTCGATTCGAGTGTTTGATTTTTGTTTGGGGTTCGGATTTTTGTTCCTTAACCCGGATTCTGACTTTTGCATGCCTGTGTTTATTGTTGCAGTTTTCAACAAAAATGGTTTCTCAGAGCGATTCCGCCGGTAGTGACGATAAAGTAGCTCGCAACCCTCAGCGCAAGGTGGAGGATGTTGTCTTCGTGCTCAACATCACCCATCTTCATGCCGTCAAAAGGCGAAAAAGGCGGTAAAAGGAGGAGGAACACTGACGAGGTGGGGATTTTTGCGATAATGGACCACTGGAGGCCACTTGTGCTCTTTATGATGACGACTGGACTGAAGCTAGGCGTTTAGCTGGTCATACCGTGGACATCGTCAGGCCTGACGCGGGGAGTTTACCTTCCTCTTGCCCCCCAGGTTTCTTCACGGTCCATAAGGATGCTCTGGACCATGGGTTTCGGTTCCCGATGCACCCTTTCTTCGTGGAGTACCTCAACTGGGTTGAGCTACTCCCCTGTCAAATAACCCCCAATGGGTTTTATCCGATCGCCGGCTTCCTGTTACGCTACTTGAACTCTTGAAGCTGGGTCTGGAGGTTAGCGTGGATCTCTTCAAGCACCTGTTCCAGATTGGCATCAACCCTTAGCCACGAAATCAGGGCTATGCTGCACTCCTAGCGTCCTGGTAGGAGTGGGTTTCATAATACCCCTACCTCGCACCACGGGTGGAAACACAGGTTCGTGTTCATCTGCACGGACCGAAAGGAAGGGTCCCCTTTTACGGCCGTGGGGGCTAATTCGTTCAACAGGCACAACACTGGTGAGTTGGGACCTTTTGCTATCGCTGTCGACACTTACGTCAGGTTTGGAGATCTCGATATGAAACGATTTGTGACTCCTGCAAAGCTGAGGAAGGACCTGGGTTTTGCCTTTTTCACCGACGCTCCTGCTGAAGATCATGGAGCTGCTGAGCATAAAGAAGTGCCCCAAGATGGGCCTGATACTGACGAGTAAGCTGCTGCTCAAGAAGAGGTCGATTTGGCCAAAGCCATTGCAGCGTCGTTAGCTATGGGGCAGGGATGTTCTGCCGCCGCTCCCACCGCTTCCGAAGTACTGGGGCCTCAGTCTTCAGGTGAGGAAAGGGTATTTTCCCACATGTCCCCTCCTAGGTGTGAATCTTCTGGGGGAGGGGAGGAAGGGCCCGTCCTGATGAGAAAAAAACAACAGAAGGACGTCTCCCCTGAAGTTGCTACTCGGACCGAGGTGGATCCTTCAAAAAATGAAGCTTCCACCTCCGGGCGAGCTCCTGTCACCACCTCATGTACCCTTGTTTTAGTTGTCTAGATGTATTCTGTTTTCCCTTGTGGCGCTGGCTTATACTTGGGTGTTTTCCCTGTTCATGCCTATAATATGAATTATATTATACAATACAGTAGATTCAAACACCCTCTAAGTTATTCGCACACCAGATAGAATGGAGGATTCTCTGCTCATATCTCCCTATATATTTGCCCCTTTGAAGCAGAGTAAAAATAGGTGGCTAATAATGCTCAAGGGAGATTGATAGCTACTCTTAGTCAAATATTGTGTTACCATACGATTAATTTTATATTAATTCGGTTAAACTGGAAAGTTGAAGTGAAAATTTCAGATTTCGAAAATTCGGGCCCCGATTTGATCGGGTTCGATTATGGGTCATAGAATTCATGAAACCAAAAGGTCGATTCGGTTGGGATTTTTCCAATTCAATTCGGGAACCGAACTAAATCTAGCCCTTATTTATTCCAACTGCAGAGGATCAAACTTTGATGTATGCCATAGAATTGAATAAATTCATGTTTTCATGAAAGTAGCAAAAAAGTTTAGCTTAATTTTATTTCTCCTAAAATTGCAAAAAATGATGTAGATGAAAATAAAAATATCTATAGATGCATGTGATGTGTCAAACATCTTATTGTTTGATGGCATATACTCTGAAGGAAAAAATCAGAAGTTCACTTGGACACTACCATCAATTCAACTTACTATAAATGACATTTCATGAATTAGAAGAGGCTTTGTCTTCTCAATATTTAATAACATTCAATGCTCGTCTCGTGTAAATAGGCATGGACCGGTTCCGGGAAAAACAGCACCACAACTCACAAGGGAGAGTTGCGGCAATGGACCGGTTTCCCTATTATATAATGTTACCCGGCCCAGTCCACCCCTACGTGTAAACATTACAGTAGCAATTTGTAGAGAAATTATATAGTGAGAGTTGCGTCAATTGATAGAGAAATTATATAGTACTCCCTCCGTCCCTAATAACTTTGCCAAGTTTGACCGGCACGAGAAATAATAAAGTAAAAACTGTGTGGTTGAGGTTTGTGCAGAGGAGAGTGAATGATCTGAAATCACAAATTCTTTATTTAAAAGGGAAAGTGGCAAAGTTAGTGGGACATCCAAAAAAGAAAAGTTGGCAAAGTTATAAGATACGAAGGGAGTAAGAGTTATTGAATACTTCCTCCGTCTCACCAATAATGGGACAAGATGAATTAACACGCGAACCAATAAAAAGTGATTTATATAATTGCTATTGAATTGATAAAGTTAGAATAAAGTAAGAATAATTTAGAGACAAGTTTTACTAAATTTGATATGAGACAATCTTAGCGAAACGTGGGGAGTATATTGTAAGTTTATTCAATCATATGATTTATATATGTCATCATCTTGCTATTTCTAATCTTTTCCGTACATCTAGAATCCGGAGCTAATTGATTCTACCTCAACATATATCTATTATTCCCTCTGTCCCACTATAATCGTGTCATACCACTAAATTTATCTCATATCATATTTGATAATATTATCATTATTATGTCTTTCTAATTCACTCTTAGTTTAATCGTACTTTGTCAATTCATTATCAACCACATCATTTCACTTTTAAAAAAATCTCACGCGCTCTCATGTTTCTGAATCTTAGGAGTGGTAGTATTATTTTTATTATGATATTGTTTTCATATAACAATAACAATGAATTCTTTGACTTGAGCATGATATATAGAATAGTATAATAATTTGTCTACGAACAGGATTCACCTAGGGGTGGACCCGAGCCAGGCCGGACCCAGGCCCGGGCAGGCTTTTTTCGGAATGTTGAGCGGAATCGACCCGGGTTGATACCGAGTCTGGGCCAAACCGGGTCGATCCAAGCCCAGTTCTATGTAATTTTTTTTTTTACTTTCAAATTAACCCCCGACCCCCCTCCCTCACCCCTACCCCCACCCCCCCCCAAACACACAGCCCTACCCAAGGAAAAGGAAAAAAAATGAAAAAACAAAAAAATTGAACCGAACACAACCCGAAACGCCCAGGCCGGTTCATGAAAATCATGGCCCGAGAACGGCCCACCAGAACCGCCCAAACCGAGCTAAAGCCCAAAACCGAACATCCGGGCACGGTCCGATCCGGGCCCGCACATAGTGATGGACCCGGGCCGGTCCGGTTCCGAGCCGGGCCCGAGCGGGCTTTTTTGCAAATCCTTGGGCCCGGAACGAGCCCAGGTTGATACCAGGTCCGGGCCCGGTTCAATGTCTATTTTTTTTGCTTTCTTGTTATCCCCCGACCCCCCCACCACCACCCAAACCTCCCCAAAACACCCAACCCTACCCTAGGAAAAGAAAAAAAATTGAAAAAAAAAAAATTGACCCGAGCCCGGCACGAACCTCCCGGGCTCGGTACGGCCCAGTTGGCTCCATGCCTAGATTCACAATGTGAAGGTTTTTTTGTCTGTGAATCCAGTTCACAGAAAAAATGTCTTATTTTGTTTGTGCAAAATTTGCAAAATACGTCTGTAAACAGGATTCATAGACAAAAAAAGCTTTGTCTATAAATGGGATTCATAGACAAAAAAAAGCTTTGCACAAACATGATGTGTATAAAAGTGGATATAAGGGTGAGTACAAACAGCATATTTGAATAATTTTTAAGAAAATTCTCAAATGCATTCAAGGTCGACACGGAGTGCAGGCGGATATTTCCTGGAAATCTGGAATAGACGAGGTATCAATTCCACATATGATGGGCGTATCATTTGACACCAATTTTTGTACAAAGCAGGATTGAGTGGTCACAGGTCCAGTTTGGGTCTAAGTGGATCACAAGATTTTTCCGATTATAGAGGTCTAGTTCTGGTGTGACACTGTGACCCAGTCGCAACGGGCATGACGCATAATGTCGCATATTCTGCCGTTTGAATATTAGGGTGGCTGAAAGATAGTGCATGTAATAATGTAAAACACTCATCACGCTATATAAAAAACCCAAATAGAATCGTATTAAAGAAGTTCACCGCAAGAAAAGTTATTGGGAGGGAAAATTATACTGGATAGGGAGGCAACATTACTACACTCGGCACTTCCACTGAAAGAAAAACAAATAAAAACAGACCGTGCGTGGATCACGATACCAACTAGTGACCCCAGGGATAGCAGGAGGAGTGACGATGAACCCCAAGCGTCTTTAGATTTAGCTCCATTGCCTTCAACAACGCCCACAGATCTTTAACATTCAATAAGGTGTGTATGGAGATGGCCTCCTGAATCTAGGGACCTTCCTGCATCGCATAAAACCATATAGAATGTGCTTATTTAGGTTATTATTACTGTTGTAATAAACAACATCCAAGTTCTCATTGGACTCCTATGTTTTTTGGGCACAATGCCCCTAATTATAGGAGTTGGTAAAACGTAAATTTAGTTGTTAAAATTCGTCTTGGCCTAACATTTTTTAAATAAGATGCCAAAAATGTATTTTAGGCCTCATTTGGTGTATCTCTTTAGCTAAACACAAAACTGTAAGGATAAAGGTGCTTGTTTTCAGCTTTTTTATGGCAGTTTTGAAAAATCTATTAGCATAAGTATGATTTTGTTTGGTTCCCTATGCAACATATATCATATACCTTTCAAATTCATAAAACCAAAACCAGAGAAGTCACAGTAATACCAAACAGTCCCTACTAAAGGAAAACTAAATAATCGGGCAATGAGCATTTCCTAAAAAAATATGTTTTTACATTTTGTTAATTAAAAAAAAGAATTATTAGATAAATATACCCCCAACTATCATCAAAGTCACAATCTATCTCATACTTTTACTTTAATTAGAAAAAGAGTCAAACTTCAACTTTTCTCACAATTACACTTTTAATGGATGAATTAGTAAAACTTAAAAAGAAATCATATTAATATATCATATTTTTTCATTTCTTTCTATTTTCAAGTTTCCAAACTTGTATTGCTTATACTACGTATCTCAAGGGTATTGATAAATGTGTAATTTTGAAAAGGCAAATCAGAAAAGCATAATTGGTTAAAAAGATGAAGTTTGAGTCTTTTTCTGATAAGTCAAGGAATAAGATAGATTTGTGAATTTGATGATAGTTTGACATTCTTAAAGTAATCGGTATGAATTGCCAGAAAATTATTAATGCAAGTATTTGACTAATACAGCTACACGCCTACGCCCCACAAATCCTACAATAAATGACCTAGGAAACCAAAAAACGATATTTACGCTAGATTCCCTTGCTTAGGCCCGACATAATTCAACTTAGTCACATCGTAACCCCTACTGAAGCCAACTATTAACAAACCTGACTGATGGATCCATTTAGAGAATTGGTATAAAGACTAATAAGTAGAAAGGAAAAAGCTCACCCATATCCATATGGAGGAAAGAAGTATGGGGCTGGTACGTAAGGTCTCCTGAACCTGTACCCACCCATATACGGATTGAATCGTCTTGCGCGAAATTGTTTCATACCGGGAACATTGGTCCTCTTGGGCATGACCTGCAGATATTAAAGTAGTTCAACACTATAACAGTGTATCCGAATCAAGATGGATAGCAAAGAAAAGTATGAAGCACATTACTGTGTCATTGTATTCCATGGAAAGAGATAATAAAAGGAAAAAACAGATATCGAGCCCATTTGGTAACACTGAAAATGGCTAAAATTGATGAGATTGTGGCTGAACCATCTAAAATTTGGAAAATTTATATTTAAATATATTTTATTAATGAAATAAAGAAAAAATTATATGAAAAATAGCTAAAATGGTCCTCTATAGTAACTTCAGCCAATTCAACCAAAAAAGTAATTTCAATCTTACTTATTTTGATTATTACACAATTTGGCGCGACACATCAAAAGTTACATGTTTGGTAAAAACTAAAAAGGTTGGCTGATAAGATTCATAAGCTGAAAAGGGGGGTTACCAAACGAGCTCATCATTTCGCCCAATTTTCACAATTTCTCTTTCGCTTTCAAACTCTTAAAGTATGTCTCGATTCATATTGAGGGGGGAGAAAAGTAAGCAAAGGAGAATAATTGAGAAGATTATAAAGGTAGTGTGGGGCAGAGATCAAATGAATTTGGATGAGATAAATTGAGTACAGAAGATGAAAGGAGAGTGTTTAAAGTATATAACTTCCCTATATCATTATGAGTAATTTACCTAAATATGTACTCCGTATATAGCATAGAGTGTTTAAAGTATATAACTTCCAAAATGATCTTTCTTTACTTATGATTATGATCTTATTAATTTATTTACTAATCATCTTTAATTAATCCATCATCATCATTACCCCGGTGCCGCAAAGGCTCCCACCTACAGTGGGGTAAGAGAGGGTCGGATGAACGCAGCCTTACCCCTGTAGAATAGCATGGGGAAACTGTTTCCGGATGACGCATAGTGAAAATCGCGTAGAAAATTGCATGGACAAACTGCTGCTTCATAAAAAAGAAAAGCGCGCAAACAGTTTAGTGAGCCATTTTGCTTTATTACATCATATTTCCAAACCAAAAAATGGTCATTTTTTGGCTCCATTGCAAATGATGGACAAACTCATATAATGATCTTTAATTAATTAATGATCTTTATTTATAACCAAATAGATATTCCCTCCTTCCCAGCTCAAACTTCTCATTTCCTTTTTTGGGCATCTCTGCTAAACATTCTCATTTATGTTTTAAGAAATAATTAGCATTCTTAAATGATAATTTAATAGTCAATTTTTAAAAATAGCAAACCTATAACATCTCAGTTATCATCAATGACCTCATTATATTATATACGCATCAAAACTACTAATCTAATAACCTTTCTTAACTATTTTAAATAACCATGTCATTTTTCAATGTGAAGCTTAAGCCGAGAAGAAGGTAATACTACATTTGGGGGAAGTATGGTGGTGATAATTGGAAATGACTATCAAAGGTTATTATCAATAAATTATTGTCAATAAATTATTATTCCGACTTAAATTTTGAGGGAGAGTTTATTATCCATAAACTATTATTCCAACTTAAATTTCCTTTGGGAGGATGGGGTTCTTCACATCTCTATATCCATTTGACCCAAACCTAGAATGGTAGCATTTTCAGGGGGAGGGGCTTCCTCCACAAATCTTAGATGAAAGAGTCACCTTCAGCTGGCGCCCATGCAACTCAGATTCATTCAACTGAAGTGCCTCCTGAACAGCTTCTTGCTCAACAAATTCCACATATGCGAAACCTTTAGGCTGACCAAACTTATCTGTCAGAATAGTGACTCGATTAACTGTACCACAAGCCTGAAAATGTTGCTGAACTTCCTCTGGAGTGCATGCATAGTCAACCTGTTAAACATAAAATTTGGATAAACAGAGGATAAGGTGCACGTCATTGAAAAGAAGTGATTGATTACTTATAGAAGCAGAAATTTACAACTACAGTGATCCAAAATCAGAACCTTTTGAATAGCAATTCCCAAAGATAAAACAAAAGAATATTTATACCAGCTACACTGATAGCCATAAAGGAAAAATACATCTTTGTTAAGAGAAGAGGTGATTGCTTATAAAAGCAGAAATGAACAACTTCAACGAACCAAAATAAAATCTTTTGAATAACAATTCCCAGAAGATAAAATCAAAAGAATCTTTAATCTTGGCTCCAGTAATCGCTAAGGATTAACATAGCAACAAAGTGAAGTAAAATTTTAAGCTTATAATACATGGTTTTTTCCGTAACAAATCAACTAATAAAAGAACTCCCACCCCCCGCTTTCTCTCTCAGGGCTTGTTTGGTTGGTAGATTTTGTAGGAAATGCGGTTACCAATTTTAGGGTCACTAAGGTGCTATTCTTTAGGTTCTGAACTTTGTCGAATTGTTAGTCTGCCTTAGTCTAATATGGTTTTAGTTGTGTGTATTGCAACTTTGTTCTGGTATGTTTAAGTGTGATATAGGCATATAGCTAAACTTGAGGCTTAAAAATATACTAGTATAGGAGATGAAGACCTCATTTATTTCTCTTTTTGTTAGTTTTATAATATAAAAGTACTACTCAGCAAGTCAGCATTGTTTAGTTAAATCGTGTATTTATATATAGGTTTTGATCTTTAATTTATATCCAACCATCTAAACATAAGAATAAGTTAATAAAATAAGTATCACCCCCTCCCCTTCAAACCACCCAGGCCCTAAGAAACAAGTGCTTAGGTAAACCAATAGTAACAACTAAGAAGATAGATTAGCTATGTCATGTGTTGCTTCTTACAAATCAACTCACCGCCACATTACACCATAGAAAGCAAGGCTCTAAAAACACGTGTTGAACGGTTTGCCATCAATGCTTTTGGCAAGAACAGAGCAACAAAGCTAACAAAGGCTGAAAGGCAAGTAGCGACACCTCACCCATGCTTAAGAGACAGTCAAACAAATGTCCACCAGCTGCCAGCAGCAATCAGACACAGCAACTAGCATTGCCATTGCAAGGGCTAAGCTTTTGCAATTTAATGACAATAACTTGTCTTCTTGCATGATAAGCAGGTGATATCTAAGTCACGCGCTCTCACCAACACAATATCCATCCATGCCCCAAAAATATAGGATACTTTTAAGCTCATGTACTTTTTTCATATTTTTATTCAATTTTTTAGGTCCCCGGTCATTATACTCTTTTTTCAACTCTTACCAAATTTGCTTTTACTCTATGGGGACTCCCAATATTTTTTTCATATTTTTACAGCTTTATTTTCCCCCTCAATCAATTTTTTCAAATTTGGGGATTATGCTTTTTTAGGGGCATATACATCCATATACAAATACTACTACAAATGCAAGCCCATCAAAAACCACAACCACTTCCTTCCACCGTAAAAAGAATAGGAAAAAAGGCCCATCTCTATTCAGTAATAAGGAAGAACTCCTGCGATCATAACGAAATACGGTTAAGCCATGACTCCAAAAGCATCAGTCAAAAGTCAGACAAAGACTGCACCAAGATGAGCCTTAAGCATTTCTGGAATAAAAAGGACATACATATAACTATAAAAGAAAATGACAAAGGGGCAGAGGTAACTACTATGCACACATAGCAGCGACTCTTCAATACACTGTTGTAAAAATGCTATTATAAGAAAAAATCATCAATATTAATTCAATACTACACCCTCAGTCCCTAAATAATCTTTATACTTTCCTTTTCTGTACAAAATTACCACACATTTCCATTTAAGAAAAAATGTGAGGTTCATATTATTCCTCTCTTCACAATAAATCTTAACCACACAAATATTTACAATCTTAAACTTTGTACGTAGTCAAAGTATGACTTCTTTAGGATGGAGTGGTAGTAATAATTTTAATTCGTCGAGATCAACTTTAGTGCTTCACTGTTATGGAAACTAATAATCAAACTATGCTACTGCTTTAGTGTAAAAAACAAAACAAAAGCATTTCAAACAAAGTACAGTTCAGGGAAAAACAAAAACACTAATCATGTGGCATCATATAAATATCAGTTTGAAATTAAAATCAAGTACCGTAGCTATTGAGAAAAAAATCACACAAATAAGTATATCCATATAAGTATGTAAACCGAAGTTTCATGCAGTGACTTCATAGACCAGCTGGTTCATATATCCATATAAGGTATTTAAAATAAGTGGAGTTCGGTTAGTACATTGCCGACAAAGATTGATCGTGAATCAAGCTCTTCCTTGTTTGCCTGAGAAGCAGCACTTGCTGGATCTGCAAAAAAAAAGTGAATAAGGAGATCAGATTTGTCACAAGAAAAGATCAAAAACCAAATTTATCCCAAATTACTAGGGTCTACAGGATGAACAAAGAGAAAATCTCACAAGAAAAATTAGAAAAGCCTCGGGTGCAATTTCAAGGTGAATGATTAGATGTCAGAACACCCAATATCATGGAGTAGTAGCCGGTCTAGCACATGTTTAGATAAAAGTTCATTGCTAAAATAAAAATAGACCATTAAGTGCCCGTTAAGAAACCCCATTTTCAGCTTCTCAACCATATCACCTATTTTTTTACGAAACATGTAACATTTGATTTGATGCGTTGGATTGTGTAATAATCAAAATAAGTAGGGTTAGAGTAACTTTTTCTTTGTTTTATTAAAAAAATATTTTAAATACAATTTTTCGAAAACCCAAAAGATTCAGCCGCTTCGGCCAGAATTCCAGCAGCTTCATCCGACTGCACTGTTACCAAATGGATTCTAAGAATTTTTTTGATTGGGCTGAAAATTTCTAGTCTAGTTTGAACTGGTCTGGTAGATGTGTGGTCTATGTATTTTACAATTGTCAATGTCTGGTCTGCATAAGTCTGGTTTGATTTGTTCTGGTCTGAGACTAAAACCAATCCAAGTAAAAACATTCTAAAACAAAATATTTCCAGTACATTGGTGGAGCAAAAAATCAGTAGTACTGCAGCTCTTGAGCACTTGTTCTCATTGAGAATGTTACATGTTCATGCATGTAATTATGAAATCCCAAGTACTCCGGTCCATAGATACAGAAATCGCTGAGATTCCCGCGTTTTGCATTACGGATCGCGGTACATTTGCGAGCCGGTCGCTTCTGCGTTGCGACTTCGGTACGGAGGTTTCAGGTCTCAGGCCGCGCATATCATCGTCGCAGGTCGCTGACGCTGGTCTCTCCGTCGCAGGTCTCCGGTACAGTTCACCAATGCAGGTCCTATCTTCGTCGTTTTGTACTGTCGCTCGTTTAGATCTGGACTCTGTGTTCTCTTTACTCTGCGGCTCTCTCATTCTTTCTCTTTGGCAAACCGTTCTTTTTTGCTTTTTTCCCGTTAGTTGACTCCAGCTACTACAACTTTTCCATCTTTTTTGAACTACACGGTATTTTGTGTGTGTGATGATTTTGAACTACGCAGTATATTCTCTTTTAACAACTGAATTTTTTATTACTTCATTAATATTGAATACCTATATCAAATAAAAATTTAATTTTATCAGATTTAGTTTATTCAGTTTATGAATTGGGAACAATTGAAATTTGGAATGTTACATTAATTGTTCAATACTCCATATTAGTAATATTATTATATTTCTACATTGTAAGGTGTACATGTTTTACGGCACACCGTACCGTAATCAATGGTACAACGTACCGCGTACCGAAATAGCGTACTGAAGAAGCCTACCGCCCTACCCCCTCACGTACCGGATAATCTAGACTTAGCGAACCCCGTTCCCGATCTTCGTTCCCGTACCGAAGCGTTCCGCGAACTATGTGACTATGCTCCGGTCTATGAAGCACAGAAACTCTCAGGAATGAGGATGTTACCGTTTCTCAAACTCTTCAGAAATTCTCCAAATAGTCATTTTTCTACTAAAAAATGGTGTTACCCATTTCCCGTTTCCTCGGGAGTTTTACGTTTCCATGCAACATAGAGTCCAGTACAAACAGCTAAAACATAACAGAACACAACCATATACTCCGTACAAACTAGACTTGAGCTGATTTCTTCATGTGGACAATTATGATTTATGACATTGTATTATTCCACAGAAACAATTCAACAGCTTTCACTTGAGGAGTCCTAGAGGGGAAAAGCTTCTTTCTACAGGTGACATAAATCATGTCAGCTCTAATAGTCACAAAAAGAGAAATTTAGGCATTGGGAATCGCTAGCCACACTCATATCTACCCTAAAACAACATCTTTTAAATTTCTTCTGTCAAATTGATAATTTATTTGAATACAGATTAGTACAAAAAACATGCTTAGATTCCTGTAACTATCTCATATCTACAGAATGAGATACGATCTATAACTATTTCATGGATGATAAGACAACCTGCTTCACCTTGAGCAGAACCCATCTCCTTCTCAACTTTGGCTTGCATCTCCCGAAGAGCTGCTGCTTCTTCCTCCATCTCCTTTAGTCTTTTCTTCATCTCATCCAATTCCTGTAGTTCTCCGAATCATCAGGTCATATTAGACACAAGGAGTGGACAGATCAACATAAATAGAACTCGACAGAATTGTAGTGGGTTTTGTATACGCCTACAATCATAGCAATCATATACAAGGACAGAAAAGGAATACCTTAACGGCGTCTTCGTCGGCGGCAGACATGTCCACGTCGGCGCCGTGATGTTCTACCTCTTCTCCTTCAACCGGTATTTCTCCTCCGTAAACCTCATGCTCCTCTTCATCCATGCCGATCTATCAACAACCAATCAGATCTGGTTTGAAGGCCCTCGAATTATCTGTCTGTAATGTAAAACTGGTGCTTTTAAGTTTTACTCCGTATTAACTAGACTGCAGGGCTGAACGGCGAGCTAAACAACGATGTCGTTTGGATTAGGGTTTAATGGATGACTAGGAGTGAAAAGACCATTTTAATTTATTTGATATTAATATACTTCGTATTTCCCCCCAACATGCATGGGCTAAAACATTACGGAGTATTTTATATTATTTTATACTCGTAGTAATTTAATTATTTTACTATATCGAGAAACATTTGACAGATTTTATTAAAATAAAGGAGAACTAGCTAATAAAAATGATAGAAAATTAAATTAATTTGATAAACATAGGTTATGTAGTACTTATTGTGTTTTAAAGAAGAAATCATTCCAAATATATAACCAAAAATAATAGTATTGGACAAAATTATGACCCTGGTATATTTATGAAATGTAAATATGTATAGAATCATCCAAGAGTGTTCTGCACAACTTATAGACAAAAATTAAAACTATAGGCTTTCCCAAGTAAGGATGTCCTATCACCTCAAAAATCATCTAGCTAATCTTCTATTCTGATAACTTTAATTACTATATTTGTATTCAAATATCACATCATAGTGATTATAAAATTTACATATAGTGAATTATAATACATTTTGGTTCATAGACTTTTTATTAGTAATATTTTAAAGAATGGGATAACATGTCTAAGAGAATGATTCAGTGTGTAAATCTTTGACAAATCTAAATATGTTACGGCTTTGGCAGTAGTTTGCATTATTTAACAATAACCAAAACAAATAATCTATAATTAAAAACCCATTAATCGATTTTGTTGAGAAATGGAAATATATATTATGAATGTATCCTCGTACGCAATAAGCAAATAATTTACTACAGAAGTGTTTGCAAGAACTTGAAAAAAGTGTTTTTCGAAATTTTGATTTAAAAACTGAAATTGATGTTTTCAAATGATAACTTCAGCTTAAATTAAGCACTTTAAAGTTAAAAGTTAAAAGTGTAACTTTAGCTTCTCCAAACTAACTGTTTTCAATTTTTTCAAATGAATTATAGATCACAAAAGTTATAGACTTATAACAATCACAAAAGTTATCTTATAGATCTAAAATGAAATGAGCAAACAGAGCAAAAAACTTACACGTAATTCAAACCTTAGTTGAGTTCTCACTCGACTCCTGAGAAGGAGCATGCAAAATTGAGAAAGAATAATGTGTGTCGCTGAGCGGAATTATGGAAATTGAAGGAGAATGTGGGAGGACTACGGAAGCTAGTACAAACCTAAAGTAGAGAAAGCGGGGAAGAAGTAATTTATGCTCTGAGAATTGAGACATGTTGATTAGGGAGAGTTACGCAAATGCCCTCATATATTGTGTCTGAGTTTCTCCTTTCTAAGATTAAGTAAAATTTGTGTTTCAGATTATTGGTGTGTTTTGTTTGTCACTTTGCATATCAATGAGAATGTAAGAACAACAATTTACCGCATTATTGAAAGCTAAAGTTACCAAATGATTTTTAGTAAACAATTTTAAGATAAGAAAAACTACAACACCAATCTCCATTGAAGTGTTATTGGTTATTTGTATCTTTATCTTATTTCCATTGTGGGATATAAATTGTAAGCCCAAAAAGACAAGAGTTGAAGGTAAAGCTAACCTTATTATCTCTTACAATATTTTGTTTTGAAACTTTAGCCTAAGAGTAGAAATAAGTTTTACTCAAACATAAAAAATGCCACTTCAATTTACTTACTCATGGTACCATGGACTCTAACCATGGCCCAATCGCGGAATTATAGATCAAGCCAACAACGGGATCCAGCCCATAACGGGATCAAGCCCTCAACGGGATCAGCCTATAACGGGATCAAGCCCTCAACGGGATCAAGCTCATAACGCGATCAGCCCATAAACGGGAATAGTATTAAATAACCGCTAGACCTAATTAGGAATCAGACTTACGAAAGGAACCCACAACCAAGCCAGGCTGGACAGCAGGCCTCGAGCCTGGGCGAGATTCTGGTGAGGTCAGGATATTCCTAGGGCTTACGTGGCAGACTATCATTCGTGCATAGCTATCTGGCAGCAGGCAGGAATAACAGAAGAACGTGGACTTAAAGGAACAATCATTGCACAACGGCCAAGCCGTTACAAGAGTTCTATTCGAACTAATATGTAATTAATAGCATTTATTGTAGCAGTTTCCTCCTAGAATACTAGTGTTAGGAAATTGATGTAACATACCTCGAAAGTACAATAGCGGAAGTTTAAAATTTTCCCAAACAGATCTTTCCTGAATATGACAAAACAACGAATATGATAATAGTAACAAATCTGAGTTAGAACTTACAGATCTTACAGCCTAGCGGTGATAATCCTTGACCTTAGGTATCCACGTGATTTCTCCTCTCCGAAAGAACGATTAGATCTCCCTTAGAGAAAGGCTAGGAAATCTCTTCGCAGGGAAATAAACATGTAATACTGAATCTGAAAAACCAGTCTTAAAATATGAAGGAGGATGATGTATTTATACTAGTTCTAAACTAGTTTCCCAATCACAATGAAAGTCTTGCTCATTAATGAGTTCTAGTCCTACCAGGACCAATACTTCATTATTAATTAAATAAGTAGATTAAATAAAATAAAATAATAATAACAACAACAATAGAGAAGTGGCGTGCAGCCACTCTCTACTTGTTATGTATATTATTATTTATTTTATTTCCTTTTCTTTTAGATTCCAAATCATAAAGAAAAATACCAACTTTATTTAATTAAAAATACATCTTAATTAAGTACAATAAATCTAATTTATCACACTTAATTAATTCTATCAAATAGAACTTTCCTTCAACACAATGAATTAAATATATTAATCTAATTAATATTTAATTCATTTTCAGTATTACTAATTAAATATTATTTAATCCAATTAATAATATTTAATTCCTTCTAACAATTCAATCGGAAGGTATAATCACTAGTTGTGTGACCCATAGGGCCTTATGTATTAAACACTAATCAAATTAAGGTCTTAGTAGAATCCCTAAACGATTTACCAGACAAACTTAAAATATAAGGACGTTTGCGAGGACTATTCAAATTCCCTGTAATATAGAGCTCATAGTGATACGTTCCTTTCATTCAGCGAACATTCAACTAAGTCTAGAACTTGATATTGTGTCTATTCCAATAACTTAGTCTCTATCTCTCAATCTTTCTAGATGATCCATAATGATCATATTCGATATCCAAAACGAATATATCTTTGCATTGGCCAATGACTTTATGATTCATCTAGATATAAGAAGTAGAATATTTTCTCTTAATCTATTGTGAGGAATGAATTCTTTCTTGTCTCAACTACTACTCCATGTGCTTCGTGATGCACCCAACACATGTCGTATCTACCCCGATTGGAGTGCAAGCGTTGGTCATGGTCAAAGTACATGAGTCCGCACATGTAGTACGTATTGACCTCAAGTCGGAGGACTATTGCACTACTCTATACGCCAAATATTCCCATGAATCACAAGAACTCATAGTTGTGAGATCAACTATTCTTTCTAAAAGTATGATGCAGTCTACATACACATCTTATCGCATATCATCAATATCCCATTCTTGATGATCATTGATTGGGGCTATTTTAGGACCTTATGTTATATCATATAAGCTCCCACTTACTTATTGACAACATAAGTCCAAGGGAACACAATTATGAATAAGATATTGACAATCGAAATACTTAATCATCAATGTGTAATACCGTATATATCAAATATATAAAACTGGATGTGATCAAGTACATATATCTCTAAAAAGTGATTGTCGCTAGGACATATATACTAACAATCTCCCACTTGGCCTAGTGCCAATCACCAATACGTCTAACACCTAGACTCTCAAAAGCCTACAATGTTTCTCGCATCTCAAAGGTTTGGTGAATGGGTCAGCCAAATTGTCCTCTACGGGAAGGCATTCTGTTGCAACTTCTCATCTTGTTATTTGTTATCAAAACACGATAACATACTGGTATTTTCTAGTTCCTTATTTTGCAGCTTGGTTCCTTAGCTTGTGCAGATGTACCAGTACAGTCACAATAACAATTATTGGATAATTGTCGCTAGGAACTACCCTCATTTCTTTAAGGAACTAACGTATCTAAACGCTTACTTAAGTTGCATCGAATGCAACAATTTACTAGGCTCTAGTTGTCGAATTTATAGTAGTTTCTTACTTGCAACTCTTTCAGCACTACTATTACATTGAGACTAAAAATATATACTGACTGTGACTCGTAGTCTTTCTTATCATACATGAAACTAGTGCTAGAATAATTAAATTCTACTATTTCTTTCTGTCTACCATAGATAAAAGGATATTCATGAAGATTTTGGGTGATCATTCTTTCACAGACTTCAATGAGGGGATATCATTCTCTGCGATCAACATATATGATTATAAAGACCGCGCTATCTTGTTGCGCACTCTAAACACGCAAGCACCCTCATTTCAGTTGATGAGGTCAAACGATTTGACTATTTCATCAAAATTAATATTTCAACTCCTAGAGGCTTGTTTTAGCCCATGAATAGATTTCTCTAATTAACATAGTGATTTATAATTTGACTTGGATGCAAAAACCTTCAGGTTGTACCATGTACACCTCCTCCTCGAGGTTTCCATTAAGGAAATGGGTTTTGACATCCATTTGTCAAATCTCATAATCATAGTATGCAGCTATCACAAGCAAAATCCGAATGGACTTGAGTTTTGCAACTAGCGAATAGGTATCACTATAGTCAATTCCTTCTCTTTGACTATAAGCTTTAGCCACTAGCCTAGCTTTGTATGTTTGCACCTTACCTTCAGCATCAATTTTCTTCTAGAAAATCCTTTGCATCCAATGGGTCTAACCCAACAGGCAAGTCAACCAAGTTCCATACTTGATTGATATACATCAAGTCCATTTTAGATTTCATGGCATCTCGCCACCTCTCTAAATCAACATCTAATATTGTTTTAGTGTATGTCTTAGGTTCATCCTTATCAAGAATTTTAGCATCATCATGATCCTTCATGAGGAAATCAAACCTAGTTA